ATAGGTAGTATATAAGTATACGAGCTGTCGTATTTATATAATATCACATACTGACATAGCTAAGCAGTGGAGGATCTGAAGCCTGTTTAAAGGGATAAAGGGAGCGAGTATGAATATTTCGATACATTAATTGGACGTGAACTTATATAGGTAAGTAGGTAGTAAAAATTACAACAGTTGAATGTACATAATATAAATAATACATTTTCTTTGCTTATCAACTTGACTTTTTCTATTGTATCTATAAAAGCTAGGACTAATGCTCTTCGTGGCAGTTGTCTCAAACCAGGGGTTTTCAAACAAAGATAGAAAAAATGTCAAACACGCTTTTTTTCACTCGTTTTATAACAAATGGTAAGATCAACTGGGTTATGGCCTTATGGGTATGTTTGAAGTATGAAGTATGATTCGTTGATTATCTTGTTTAATAAATGACTCGACGATATTTTGTTAAAAGGCCGTAGGTATACCAAATTTTATTTTTTTTCAGGAAACAAATAAAACTGATTAAATACCTACTCAATTTTTAAGATAGAACATTCATTTATACATTATATTAAACATGAGACTCCATGGAACTAAAATAAAATTGCTTAAACTAAATTTATATTTAATGTTATATTCATTTAAAAAATGTATGTGGTGTAGGCCCTTTTAACAATTTCAATTTTATAAACGCCCTTCTAAAAACATATAATAATAGTGTTATAAGTCCTTTTAACAATTTCATTTCTACAAACGCCCTTTTAATTTTATAAAGCATTTGTGTATATATAATATATATATATATATATATATATATATATATATTATAATTATTTATTATAATAATTATCTTATTACTATTACCGATATTTGGCAATACCTTTATCATTATATTTTATAATTATCTATGAACACGGTCTTATAAGATAATAGAATTGATTATATAAATATTATAATATCATATTAATTAATTAATGATAATAGTAAAGAAAAATCAATCAATTGTAACTATCTGCTACATAATAATATTACTACATAGCTGGATATATAAGCTAACTATACCTACTGGCCACAATAGAAGCTATAAACATGACATTACCTAATATCGTTTATTTGTTTTAGTTAACAAATCATTATTTGAAAATATCCATTAGGTATTAAGTGTTTAGCTCCACTCGTCCGTAACAGCAAAGTTCGTAATTTGCAGTACTTACGTCGTTCGTTTGTTGCAAAACCTTACAGAGATGGACTTGGGAATTTCAACATGCCTGCAGCGGTCGTGCGAATGTGCCAGCGTGGGTCATCGATGTGTAGTTGACACACTCGATCTGGCAGTCGATAGTCGGATCAAGGCCGTTTGTTTCCCGTTGAGGCGCAGACATTATGGTGATAGTTTCCGGTCGGCACCCGAGCTCAATATTGACTCACCAGTGTACTCGCGCCCAGAGCTGAGAAGTCTGCAGTCACCCGTGTTATACGACCGAGTGAATACCGTGGTGGTTGCCGCCGCATCGACGGTGACTCGTTTTACCGATTTTCCCGTGACTGCAGAGACGAAAACCGTCAGTCTGAAATCGCAGCGACCTCCACGTGTCCGGTCGTTGATCGCCGCGCTGGACTTGGCCGGCTATCGTACGATCTCTCTGGCTGTCGGGCCACCGGTGCGTCTCGAAAATGCCAGGTCGTGCCCCGAGCTGAAAATGCAGTCACCTGTGTACGGAAGAGTTCAGAATACCGTCCCTCCGGCACCAGCGGAAATCCTGGCACGGTCTGAACCCCGCAAATCCCAGTACACCTGCAGCGAGGATCGATGTCTTGTTGACACTCTCGATCTGGCAGTTGATCGCAGGATCACGGGCATCGGTTTTCCGTTGCGGCGCAGTCATGGTGATAGTTTCCGGTCGTCGCCCGAGTTCAGACTTGACTCGCCCGTGTACTCGCGCCCAGAGCTGAAAAGTCTGCAGGCACCCTTGCTGTACAACGGAGTGAATACCGTCCAGCCTGAACCAGCGGAAATGCCGCAGAAACCGGCCAGGTCTGAACGCCGCAAGTCCGCGTTTACAAGATCGAGACGGTTCATCTGGAAGGGTTTGGTAAACGCGGCGCGCAGACTTTGTTTCTGCAGTAGCTTTGTGGACATGGAGTAAGCTAAGTTACCACAGTGGTCGCTGCTGTGTTACCGGAAGTCAGTCGCCGATCAACCCGTTCGTTGTTTTTGCTATATTCGTCTAACTCTATAACTTTATTCGAGTTCGTCGAACCGTTACGTTCGAGTAATTAAGTATTAATTGTGTCCGTTTTGTGTTGCCGCTCAGTTACGTGTGCCTCACGGGGCCATTTCGAAGTCCGCTGTCGCCGTTTCCAGCAAGATTATGCTTAAAGTTAAGTTGCAAACTTGTATTCTATATTTTTTTTTTTTGCATATATTATTGTAATTTTATATTGTTTTTGCTAAAAATATATTATTATTATGTGGTAACAAGCTAAACTTTGTAGGTACTCACCATTTTTTGAATATTAAAATACCTAATAGATATTGTATACTGTATAGTATACCTAATAGTATCTATTTTAATAAACCACAATATACCTACTAACATATTGATTTGTTATATATATTTTTTTACTATGGTCATTTTCGCACTCAACTCTTCGAAAGTCGCAAGCCGGACTAATGTATCCTTATCAGGTTTGCGTTTAATTGTCATAGATACTATGTTCTATGGTTGTAATAAGCTGAATAGTGAATACTGGTTACTGATAATGAACTTTAAAACTTGTAAAGTAAAATACTAAACCATGTGGCCATGCAGCATAGCACTATTACTTAAATAGTTAAATATTAAATGTGTAATGTAATTGATAATTGAACTATTATATGTATAGTCAGTTTATGTTGTAAACCGTTATAAGTAGACAGACAGTTTAAATTTCTTTAATAGCATAACATACCTAACAAAATAGTTGTTGAATCATTAAGTTTGTCCAAAATATTCTATTGAACTTAAAATTACATTATAACTAAGTCGTAATTTGGGATATATTTATGTATTTTATTTGATATTTTAATCAAAAATATATGTATTTAAGTTTATATTATGAAGGGTGATGTAAATTTGATAATACATAAATACCAACCACTTGGAAAGCACAACATTTGTACCTACATTAAGTTTATTGGTAAGTTTTCTTAAAATGTATACGTAGAAAAATTGTTATGATTAATGCATTAATTTGTACATACATTATTATACATTATTAAGACGTCTTAACAGTTTTTATTTAAATTTTATTTTCAGTTAAATCAGTTTTGTTCATTCAGTTACACCACCAATAAATGTTATTCAAAGTTTGATAACAAAAAATTTGTTATACTCTTAAAATTATTGGCCGACAATAATATACCATAGCACAAACCTAATACAACTTCATATATTATTCATTTACGTATTACTAGGGCTCGGATTTCAATGCATTTGCATCTTTTTTTGGGGATATCTTACTCGATGCTCTCCAAGCTACAAATATGTTTCAAGTACTTCGCAATCTAATCATAATAATTTTTTGGGGCATTTTTTGACGGTTTTATAATGCAATTTTTAATTTTTTAGGACATTTTTGACCTATTTGTCGTATTATGACTAAAAAAATTGACCTCATTGAAATATAAGTACTACATAGTAATATAGTACTACGTAATAAAAATTATTTTCATTTTGAACTATTTTAACTATTTTAACATCAGGTTTTCCGGTTTTTACAACCTTTATGTCACACCATCCAATTAGCCGATATTATCGGATTATTTTCTTATCGAGCGATAATATTATATCGGTGGTGCGAGTGGCCGATTTTCGGACGCTTTCAGTCGTGTTGCGTATTACGTCGAAGATACTTACTGCAGGTGTATTTTACATGTTACATATTATTTTACGTATATTATTTAATTCGCATTTTATATTTGTATAAACGAAAATTGAAATGCCTAAAGTAAAGATGCCATGTTCGGACAGACTTCGTGGATACGTAAGAGAATATGGTAGTGATGTGTTTTCTACGGATGGTCAAATTTTATTTTGTAAAATATGTGAGGTGAAAGTTGCCGCTTACAAAAATTGTATTAAAGAAATTCTTATTGTACAATGCAATGCAAATATAATTTAATTTTTAATTTTAATTTTTTTTTTGAACATTGTAATATAATTTATTAATTTATAATTTATAATTTTTATTAGAATTTTATTTGTTCCTCATTTTTTAATAATAATTAAATTTGAATTTATTTAATAAATAATGCATTTTTTGAAACGTCATTTTTTGATATTTTTAGGGCATTTTTTAGAGTTTTTAGGTCATAAATGAATTTTTCGATATTTTTAGGGCATTTAAATCCGAGCCCTACTTATTACCATATACTTGGACACAACAAGATGGTTGCCTATCTACATCATGTAAATACTTAAAAATATAATGTTCTCTGTTCAGAAGTACTTGTAAGTTGCATATAATATTCAAATTTTACATTCTGGCATAGTAATTATTATTAAGAACTAAGTTGATCTGTATTTACTACAAATATAGGTACTTGGTCAAATGATTTGGAGATAGATATTGGAATCACATAAATTTCTATCTTCCATTACATTTTCCAAACGAGAACAATGACAAATAAAAGTTTTGTTTCCCATATACTATTTTAATAGTTGTGAGTGACTACAAAATGAATTAAGTATGTAAACATATTTTTTTACCGTTAAATAATTTGGTTATATTTATACTTTTTTAATTTATTAGATAGTAAATACTCAACTACTCAAGTTAATTTCAAAGAAGATTAAAAATCAAGTCTGACAATCTGCATTCCAGAAAAAAACTTAATCTCAATAATATAGTAAACTAAAAATATGTTTAACGAAAATAGTATATGCTAATGTTTTTTTTTTTTAATTTTAACAAATATTATACAATTAAGTTAATTTAGCTAACAACATCAATCAATCATTGATACTGAACTATTACTTTTTCATTTGTGGGGGAGGCATTGCTCTGTTGTATTGGCTGCTACACGTGATCAAGTGGTTTTTGACGGCTTCCTCACTTAAGATGACCTTCAGGCACATCTTGCATATCCATTTTGTTGGGTAATCGCTATGTGATCCGTCATACCTTACCATAGTGCGGGGACAAAATAACTTTTCTTTTGGTTCGTCGACTGGTGCTCGAATCTTTTTTTTTTTGCGTGGCATATTTAAAGTACAGGAATTCTGTTGACAAAAGTTAAAACTTTAATAGTATTTAGAATAAAATATTAGCTCAAAATCAAATCTAAGGAAAATGCAGAGACCAATTTACTTATTTACTGATACTGTATCAGCATGCCAAAACTGAAGACAATATAATTTTACAGCCACCAGTCAAGGGCCAGACTGAGTAATTAATAGAGGTATTCCTAAAATATATTTCTACAATTCCATCCTCAGCATTAGTAAGGCAATACAAGTTTTAACACCTAGGCGTAGGTAATAGGTTAAATGATAGAACTTTTAAAATAATTTTATGTTGTAGATAAAACATGGTTTGAATATTATTATCATTTTAAAAGCATTTAATATTATTATTTTTTTAAATGTTAGCTAATAGCTTATTTTTATTATTATTAAATTAAGTCAGAGAATGAATTTTTATATTATGTATTTTTTTTAAAAATGAATACTTATATCACTGAATATTTGCAAAATTAAACATGAAATTATCAGAAATTTATCTAGACAAAAATGTATTAATTTTTAGCTTATATCTAGATAAAATTTAGTATAATTATCTCTAATTTTATCTAGATACAATTTAGTACTGTTACATTTATCTTTATCTAATAAATAATTTATTTATTTTTCTTTGATTCATATGTTTTTATTCAATCTGTTGCAAAAAAAGAAGAACAATAAGAACAATTGATGGTTTAGGTTAAAAATAAAAAGGCAGATTAGACGGAGTGTAGAGGCCTCCCTGCGGAGGTACTACGACATGAGTAGGACTTAAATAAATTATTAGTGATCTATTCCAAACATTGTACATTAGGTAATTAGGTGTATTGTAGCGACACTAAGGTTAGCGCACTACTCCCGACCAATGGAAATGAGAATTCAATGTAGGTATCTACTATAAAGTATTTATAAATATCATAGGCGTTACAATATTATTATATTTATTATTTTAAATACTTACAATAAATGAACGACTTCGTAGATCGTAACTGGCTGTAAATTTCGAGAACGAGAAGTATTCAAATGTCAGAACAGACAGTCTGAGGACCGAATTTAACAGACGTCTTGACCAAACCAAGGCTCCGGCTCTACAGTCTCGTGTTTACAACAGGCTATGCCACCATTTCGTGACTCGTTTCTCAATGAATAAACGAAAAAATAAAGGGAGGGGGAATAGGGATGCCCGATAATATCCAAGTGTTAGCATATGTGGTCACACTGATTTATGCGGGAGCCAATCGGAGCACCGTATTCATTTCTTGTCTCGATGCATCGAAGGTACTAGGTGGTGCGTGATCTCGAAATTTGTTTAACCGGCGAGAAAAATAACGCACCGATTGCAACGGGTTGGTTGGAGTGTTTGGACGGTAAACGGAAAAAATATCCCCGAAAAAAAACGTCCTCGTGAATAAAATATAATAAATAAAAAAAAATTGTACCTATAACATGGAGTAATTATTACTCTATGATCAATTGTTAATTTTATTTTTTTATTGAAACTAATTATTCAAGTAATTAGTAATTATTACTTTCACACAAGTTTTTCTCATTAAGGCCCAATAGGTAACAAAAAATGAAGTTACGATGGGCGCCCCCTATGTGTTATATCTGAACTGTTTAGTGAACAAAGGAACGAATGGCGGGAAATCGTGGCGGCGCAGCCGTCGCTGCGTTATCACTCCTCCTTATCGCTTTTCGCGGTTTTTACCGTTTTTCACGATTTTTTTTCAAAATTTTCGAGTTTTACCCCCCTCGGAGTCCTCGGGCGGCCCCGTTCGGATCTCATTCGCGTTCCCCGCTAAATTTATAGTCGGCGCCCGGCCGTACTTATTCAAAAACGAGTCCCAGGGAGAAGCGGCCTCGCTTAAACGAGAGTAGGTACCGATTGGGTATCGAGTAGGTACTTCTATATACAGGCATAAATACGTGCGTCTCGAGGTTCGATTTTTTTCGCGAAGTTCGCGTATTATACGTCTGAGCGCGGCGGAGCCGGTCGTCCGCTCCCCGAAGCGGTCGGATCGCCCGCTCAAACGCACTTTGCCGGCCGTCCAAACGGCGTTCGCCTTTCGCGAGCACGGCGACGCGGCTTAAGTGTCATAGAATTGACTCAGAATTTCATCACGGTAGGTGGCTAGGTAGGTTAGGCGTTAGGACAAGTGACTTGGAGGGTCGTGCTTTCGAATCCGCCGCCGGGATTATCGATAATTTGCGGCGGCCGTGATAAAGTGAATATTTTAATTATTTTGAACGAAAGTGTTAAGTTTTTTTTCAAAATTCGAGTTTTTGATTCGATAAACTGCGTTATTTTATTATATTAATATATTTATTGATCATACAAATAAAACAGGTACCTGCTTGATATATTAAATTGTAATGAAATTTAATGAAGTTCTGACAGTTAAATCGTATAATGATATGACTATACTATGCTTACTACTTAGGCGTACCTATATGTTTCTTTTATACTTGAATAGACAATAGTACAAATACGATATAACTAACCTACGTGTAGTACCTACTTGATATATTACAGTTTTTACGTGATTCCGATTTGGTTAAATACTGCTACAGATTATAAATACTGTTTAATACAATATTAATAAAATATATTAAAAAATAGTACGACTATTATATGACTTCTATATTTGACGTTTTTTTCGAAAATTCGAGTTTTAGCCCCTTTCGGTCGTATCACTCTCCCCGTCGACGACCTTTTCGCGTTCCCCGATAAATTTATAGCCGGCGCACGCCCCTACTTTTTCAAAAACGAGTCCCGGGGAGAAGCGGCGTCGCGGAAACAAGAGTAGGTACCACGAACTAAGATTCTTAGTTCGTGGTAGGTACCGTGTAGGTATCGCTATATACAGCCATAAATACATGCGTCGCGTCGTTTTTTGCGGGGCCGTCGCTGCGTTATCACTTCTCCTTTTCTACAAACTTTACTTAAATATATAAAGATCTTTTTATTTATTTATACTGTATTAAACTGTAGCAGTATTTGTATGCTATATTAAATTAATAATTACCAATATAAGAAAGTGATAATATATCATAGGTATAATGTATATACAATATGTTTTTTGTATAGTTTGTATTGTGTATTGAATAGTATAGTTATATACTATATATATATATATATATATATATATAATTATGTTTATGAATGAATAGTGAAATTACGTGGCCGTACTTGCTTCGGTTCTAAACAAGTTCGAGACCAGTTCGGGGCCGATTGACATCGCGGAAAGCGTGGCCGTCGCTATCACTATAATATACAGGATTCAATATCTGCGCCCAAAATGTTTTGAATTTTCAAAATTCGAGTTTTACCGCCTCTACGGACTTCGGACCTCCCCATCGAAGACTTATTCGCGTTCCCCGTCAAAGCAGTCCTTGATACTATTTATTACTATACACGGGCGTGAATATATGCGTCGAAGAGTTCGATTTCCTTTTTTTTCATAAATTCGAATTTTAGCCTGTTTCGGTCGTATCGCCCTCCCCGTTTGGATCTTATTCGCGTTCCCCGCTAAATTTACAGCCTGCGCGAGGCTTTTTCACATACGAGTCCCGGGGAGGAGAGTAGGTACCGTGTAGGTATCGCTATTTACAGGCATAAATACATGCGTCGCGTCGTTTTTTGCAGGTTTTTTTCTAAAATTCCAGTTTTAGCCCTTTTCGACACTTCTGCCCTTCCCGTTGACGACTTATTCGAGTTCACCTCTACATTTATAGGCGCCGCCGTCGAGTAGGTATTACAATATACACTATACGTCTATACATACATGCGTCGGAAGGTTCGAATTTTTTTCAGGAATATCGCGTTCTCAACTCAGTAGGTAGGTAGGTAGGTAGCACGGCCGCCGGAATATTTTTTTCACTTTTTTCTTTATTATTACCTTTCGATTTCACTTCAGCCTTATCATAATATCATAACGAAAATTTTACGGTTTTTTTCTAAATTCGAGTTTCACCGTCGAATAGCCGGTCAAGCCCGCGTCAGTACTTCGCTCGAGTCGAGTGCCGCGGAGGAGATCGGAGAGCGGACAGTGTCGTTATTACTATAAACGGAAATGAAAATATGCGACGAAAAGTTCGATTTTTTTTTTCGTCATATAAATTCACGTTTTCGTGTTTTTCGGAGGATCATGGGGAAACAAAATCCCAATTAGCTTATCGAGTTTCGCTTCTAAATGGGTGGGGGTTGTCTGGCCGAAAATCTAGTGACCGAAAGTCTAGTGATCGAAAAAAAGTGATCGAAAAGGTATCTGGTCGAACACTTTTTTGATCGAAAAATATAATATCGAAAATGCAAATGATCGAAATGTTATGTAATCGAAATATGTCATGGTCGAAAAATATATATTTTGTGTTAATTATTTTTTTAAAAAAAAACATAAATTATAATATAAAATTAATTTAAGTAGGTTTTAAACGTAGAAAAAAGTTGCTATAAAATATTAAAATAATTGGTAGTTCTTGATACTAGTACAACTTATAAGTATTAGTATAAATAATATAATATAGTAAGTAATTAAAATTTTAAATATGTTATGATCGACAAATATATATTACATACAAGTAAATTAAAAAATTAACTAAAATAGGTATTATAATGTAAAAAAATGTTGTAGTAAAATATTAAAATAATTGGTAGGTATAGATTCTAGTATAACTTATAAGTATTAGTAAATAATATAATATAATGAGTAATTAAAACTTTAAATTTTGAGCTATTCCTCTTAAATACTCTAATAAATCATAACCCGGATCAGCTAATAATCTTTGTTGCACTTCTTTTAAGCGTATATTGTGGGATTGCACTTGAATTTTCATTTTTTTATTACTACGTCCATAAAGTAACATCTCAATTACTGCTTCAGTTTCGTTCTGAGTAGATTGTAAGGTTTTGATTAATTTATACAGTCCTACGACAAATAATAATAAAATTAATAATATAATTAGTGATAAATAATAATATCGATTTCAGACAAACCTGGATGTGGCGATATTAATCTATTTAATTTTCTATGCCAGGATTCTGCCGTATTTGTCGTCCTGGGCAATCCTGTTGATAACCTTTCAGCTACAGACCATAATTCTGGAGGGAAAAGTGGTGGTGTGTAAACTGATTCTCTTCTTGGTCTTCCTCTTGTTTTCATAACTTGTCTACCTATTATGTATGAATGTTCAAAATACTTTAATAGACTTTGTTCTTCTTCATTGCTCCCAAATAATGGTTTGATTATGGCCCAACCTTCCTGAACCTAAAATATTAAATGTAAAGATATAGAAAAAAATACAATGAAATAAAATCAATGTAAATTACAATAATTTAATACAAACCCTATCAACTGGTAAAAAGGCCATCGCAGGTAAATGTCTAGCAAGAAGATTGAACTCAGGATCATTTGCATATTTCGTCGATAACCCAATATTTTGAATTTTTCTATAAATACTCTGGCATAAATGGAAAAAACATGTTGAATGAGTTGCTTGGGGAAAATTTTCAGTTAAAGAATTTATGGCCGCTTTTTCAAAGTCTGTTATTATTTCCAAGTCATTAGTTTGTGTAATATTAATATTGTTTTCGAGGCAAAATTCATTTAATAAAAAAAATACTTGATTATATAGCTCTTCACTTTTACCATTCATCAGAGCAAATACTAATGGTACGAAAATTTCATCGGTTCCGCGTTTAATTGATCCGTGAATAACATACATTTGTTCGAAAATTTGAGGGCAAGCCTTGAATGTTCCATCTGCTAACCAGCAAATAGATTCGCTTAAATATTTACAGTTATCATTCGTCGTAAACAACAGCAAATTTTCATTTTTTTTAATTAAAAATAATTCACCTTTTAGTGTTTGACACATTGTTGGGGCTAGGCATATTTCATCAATGGATTTTGGTTCTTTGTAGATTTCTACATTGCGTCTTTGACGTTTTACTAATTGTTGAACTGAATTCTTACTCACATGGGAAGCAACAATTGTCGAACACTCGTTAATAGATTTCTGATAGATCTGTAATGGTTTATCTTCGATTGAATTTTTCGCATTCATTTTAATTTTTTCTTTTATTTTTCTTACTTTCAAGCCTATAGGATCGGGAGCATGACAGTGTTGATCCGGAAAAAACGTTGAATTTTTATCTAGTTCATGTTTTTTTTCATTTGTCTCCACAGTTCGAATTTTTGCACCACATTTATTAACACAAATCCAATAAAATACGTGTTTGCCGTCAGTTTTACGTAATAAATCTTTGTTTTTTTTATATATGAAATTATTTATATTTAATAATATTCCTCCATGGATGCTAGATACAATATCAATATTCATATTTATATATGATAAAAAAAAATTAACTGTTGTTGCAAAAATATGTATAAAATACCAAAGTATATTTAACAGATGATAAACACTATTGGTAGGTACACCGTACACGTTGAACAGTCGTTAAACACTAAGTACCTACTATACCTACGATATACCTTCATATGGGCTAGGTACATCTATAAAAATACTAGATAAAGTAATCGAAAAGATAATCATTATCTTTACTTCGACCAAAAAACCCATTCGACCACAAAATATAAATATATATAAATCGCTCTACCACCTACTACAAACGACAAAAACTATTAAACGTGGCCGCCCGACTTGCTAGACACTCAACAAATCACGGCGACTATATTACGACTAGCACGGGCGCCCAAAATGTTATTATTTCTATACATTTGATTAACGTAATTTGGCGTTTTCATGCCTTGACCCGGACGTCGCACTATCCGACGAAGTCAGATTGCCTACCAGGGTTGCTACGACCAACGTCGAGGAAGGTGACTAACCTGCAGTGTTGGGGAAGTTACTTATTTTTGGTAATTAAATTACATTACTAATTACTTATCAAAATTGTAACTAAATTATTTTAAGTTACTTTTTTTAATTTGGTTAAGTTACATTACTTTTAAGTTTAAAAAGTAACTGAATTACAATAGAAGTTACTTTTTTTCAAAAATATCACTGGAGCTTAATAATCATGTTGTCAATATAAGAATACATAAACTAAATAGATAATGACAATCAAAAATATGAAATTATTAACGGATGATACTTTTTTTGCAACACTATTATTATTATTTTTTTATTGAATTTAAGCCCGGCAACTATGGTCATTAGCTGTTGTAGGGGATTATGAACTGTGTTTGGTAAGGTTGGTATGGTAAGGTGTTGTTACGGTTTTTACGGTTGTTACGGTATCTATGCAAACACGTGTTAGTTTTTTACTACTACGAATCTGGGCGGTCACCCATCCAAGAACTAGTAGCAGCGGGCGTAAGTTACTATCAGTCGTATTGCCAAGTCACGCATTTATTTATTAATTAATTTTTTTTTTTTTTAACTAACCCTCAGCAACGTAGAAAATTGTGTGGTTTTTAACCATGGGGGGGGGGGATACTGTAGGTTTTTGTAAACACGTGTGTTTAAGCTTGGCAGAATTTCAAATTGGGCACCCGTAGGTGCCATGCCCGGTCGAGGGATGGCGGCCTCTCTTTCCAGACCGTGACCGAGATTCGAACCGGCGAATTTATTGATAGTTCCAACAATGCTGTATGAGCCATCCGCGACGATACAACACAGAGTAAAGATAAGAATTCCATTCTAAAAGTAACACTTTATAGTCGAATAGCCAATAGCTATAGCAAAAATATTACAGTTTAGACAATTTTACCTATAAATTAAAATACTTATAAGTTATATTATGATATATTTTAATATTTACCTACACACAATATTATCGCAATATGTTCTAAAAAATTTAATAATCCAAAAAAAAAGTAGCGAGTAATTTAGTAAAAATTACTACAAAAAAGTAACTTAAATTACATATAAGTTACTTACAATAAAATGTAATTAAATTACCATCAAATTACTTAAAAAGTAATTTCGTTACAGTAACTTGTAACTTAAGTTAAGTTACTCCCCAACACTGCTAACCTGCTAGACCCCAAAATCCAAATACTATTACTACGGCGAACGTAATTCGAGGTGACTGACCTGCTAGACACCCACAAAAATACAACGACGATTTATTTTTTTTTTACGGAATTTTGAATTTCCGGCGGCAGTAAAGAACATTGTCGTCGAACGTTGTTGCTTACCGGGCTACCACGTCGAACCACGGTGGTCCTAACCTTATCAGAGTTCCTTATCACACACCCACCAGCTCGAGAGTCGAGACTGACGACCAGACCAACAGACCACTGCAGCTTCCGAAATCGAAAACACTCATGACCGACACCCTCGGGTCATGTCATACACGAAAGTGCTGTGGGGAGGTTCGGCGGACGGCGCCCGTAAGCCTCCACGGCCCTTGACTAGCACCAAGTGCTAACATAAGGTCCGCGGTTGTAGCCGCAAGGCACCAAACCCGGGAGCTTCGGGTTATTACCTAGTACTATATAGGATAATACACCAAACATGCTTACCTACCCCTGGATTTTCTTTTGATAATGAATTTATACAAATTCTAATTTTCGGCATTTTTAAATGTACTTAATCTGGTGATTTTTTTAAACTTGGATTTTTTTGTACTACTTAAGGAAGTAAAAACTAACTAAACTTTTGTTTTTCGAATGAGAACCCCCATTATTTGAAAATTTTGATGTACCTGTTCAAAATTCGAACATGTAGTTTCTCAGTTATTAAAATGTTTATACTAAATATAGTAGGTACCTATTAAAAATTATTTAAAAAAAATATAAAATAGATGTACCTAATATTGGATATAGTATTAATTATGCTTATGCTTGGACCATTTTTACAAATTATAATAATTAAATGTATTGATATATTAATATCAATTACTAAAATGTTCAAATTGTCATACCCCCCATATCTCCCAAACCCACTATCAATCTATTAGCATTAAATCACAAAGTTAAATAACTCAAAAATTCCTTATTTGAATTTTGATTTGGATAAGACAATAATTTCAGAAAAAATATCTGCAAAACTAATTTACAGAAGAAAAGGCGTATGTCATTTGATCAATACAAGTTTGTACCACAACACCTGACTTTCCTTAAGTAGTAGAAAAAAATCTCAATAATTTTAAAATATGACTATTATGTAGAGAAATTTAAAAATTCCCGAAAATCAGATTTTGAATAACTTCATAAATAATACATTGTTGAAGAAAAAAAGGGATGAGCATGCTTGGTGAATCATCATCATGTTGTTATATTATTATTATTATTATGATAGGTATACCTAAACTATATCTAGGAGTAGGCCAGTAGGGGACGAAAAAAACATTTATATTTTCGTTAGGTATATCACAATATTTTCAAAGGAACGACAGTTTCATTCATTATATCGAAATAAATAGCCAAATAGGGACAAAGATTCGTCTCCAAGAACCGGGGGACGGGGAGCCTGCAGCGACGCGACGTCGAGCGATGCTTGACCTCAACACACATTCGTGGCTTTGGCCAACCACCGTGCCACACCAGGTCCCATTTTAACAAATTTCTATATTCGTGCAGAGAAACGATATGCAACGTTCGTAGGTATTGAAGGGTAATACCTTTAATATTATATTTCGCTCTCCGACGAACAATTTAAAACATAATGACGGAAAATAATTATTATTCTACTCATATAATCGCGTGCCGATATTATTTTTGTTACACTCATGTGGGGTGGTGTTAGCCACGGTGGTACATACTGTGTTGCATCGAATTCAAATTTAAAACCTCCGTATACCTATATTTATATTTAATAGTTGTAGACTTTAAAATCGGTGACACGATAACCTCTATGCAACAAAATACCTATGATATATTATTATTATCATGATAATATTGTTATGATATCTAAGTACCGGGTACCCAGTACCCACATATAAAATAGTGATATTTTTTAAAAGTAAAATACTATATGAATATATCCTGCATGGTGGGTCTGCTCTAAAATTATGATGTTATTATTATCGACCTGCAACGACCGTTATTGCGGTACCTACACTATACCTATTATTATACAATATTATTTTATAGTTCATATTATTAGTGTTATATGATATTTTTAACGTCCTTGTATTCCTCTCTATGTCGGTCCCACTATTCAAATATAATGTTATTTAATTATAATAATAATAAAATGATGGTATTTCATTTCACAAATATACATGAATAAATATAACAATACTGATGATGTCTCCAAATAGCAAAGATTGTGGAGAAGACACAAAGTTTTACAGTTAAATATATAACGATACATTTTTAACTAAACTTGTTAAAATATAACAATATACAATATAATATGAATAAAACTAAAACATAAACAATAAACAAGTATATGTATTTTGTATATTATATAGTATATACAACCAAAAATATAAACTAATATATAGTTAAAAAATAACTACTAATCAATAATAATGAATACATAGTATCTTATAAAAAACAATAACATAAAATTACAATAAAAATTTAACTTTTGTATTTTGGAACTATCTAATATATTTTAGATTCTGAGTGAAACGATGAATGTATTGATTTTACAATGATGTGTGTTTTTTTATTTTTATTTTTTTTTGTGTTTGTGTACACGATAAGTAGTCGAAATAATGCTTCGATTTTCGACTTCAGTATCTGAAGTCGAAAGTGAATATCGAAGTGTTCAATTGGAAAGTGAATATCGTTGGTGCATTGGGGAGGTCAAAATTTAAAATTCACAGTACTTTTCAAAAGCGCCAAGAAAAACAAAAGGAAAATTAAGGAAAAAATTGAATTTGGTTTTTGGTGTAACTATAAAACAAATGACCGTACATACATGAAATTTTCACTGGTTGTTTATATTTGCATTTTCTATACACGATACCATTTTCAAAATATTTTGATTTATATTGAACTGTTTAGGGACATTTTCATTTTTCATTTTTTTTTAGTTTTTTTTCTAGAAATATCAATAAAATTTTATTTGTTGGTTAAAAAAACTTGAAAATTTAATAGTAGGCTCCTATTATATTGTTTCAAAGGCAGATGAAAAATATAAAAATCGTTAGTCACAGTTTTTTTTTATAAGCATTTAAAGTTCAAAAATTGACAAAATATGGAAAAATCACGAAAATTAGCAAATTATTTTGAGTTAAGAATTCGTAAAAATTTTTCTTTTTAAATCTAAGATTTGAAAATGTAATACAAGATTACTCATAAGTTTGTCTACCTTTATCGATAAAAAAAATCTCTACCGGACAGTCAAATTAAATTTTTATGAGCGTTGAAATTCAAATTTTTACAACAATGGATGTTCACTCGATTTCTCATGTAGCG